TGTGAAATATAAGAAGGTTATGGAAGAGTATAATTTAGGTCCTAATGGTGCTATTGTGACTTCTTTAAATTTATTTGCTACAAAGATAGATCAAGTTATTAATCTTGTAGAGAAAAGACTGGATAATTTTTCTCATTGTATAATAGATACACCTGGACAAATTGAATGTTTTATTTGGTCTGCTTCTGGTGCAATCATCACTGAAGCGTTTGCTTCTACTTTCCCAACTATTATTGCTTATATTATTGATACCCCAAGAAGTTCTTCTCCAACTACATTTATTTCAAATATGTTATATGCATGTTCAATATTATATAAGACAAAATTACCAATGATTGTTGTATTTAATAAGACAGATGTTGAAAAAGCAGATTTTGCTAAAGAATGGATGCAAGATTTTGAAAAATTTCAAGAAAGTTTAAGAACTGATCCAAATATGAATGGTGAATTTTCAAATGGTTCAGGTTATATGTCATCTTTGGTAAATTCAATGTCATTGATGTTGGAAGAATTTTATTCTACATTAGATGTTGTTGCTTGTTCTGCATATACTGGGGAAGGTTTTGATGATTTCTTGAATGCTATTGATAAGAAAACAGAAGAATATAATGAAGTTTATGCAAAGGAAAGGGAAAGAATAATAAAGGAAAAACAATTAATTGAAAAACAAGAAAAAGAAAAAAATTTAACTCATTTAATGAATGATTTAGGAATTAAAGATCATACTAAAAATATTAAAAAAAATGGGGATTTTAAAAATGGGGAAAATTTGGAAAATAATAACGTTGATGTATTATCAGATTTGGAATCTGAAACTGAAGAAACTGCTTATGAAGAAAGAGATGAAGATGAACAACCAGAAAGAGAATATACTTTTCCAACTGATAGAAATGGAGAAATCAATAATAAGACAGATGCTGATTTACAAGCTCGTTATCAAGCTGCTTTTGAACAAACTGCTAAAACTTCTAGTAGTAAAACAGCTGAAGATATTGCAAACTACATAAATAGAACAAATTAGTTTAATTAAATCTTCACTCTATTAACACAATTATTGTTTTGTGTCTATTTTACTTATGTTTTTTTTTTTTTTTTGTAATTCATGTAGACAAATATAAGGATAACAAAATACTTTTATCTTTTTTTTTCTTTCTTTATTTCTCTTTAAATTTTCTAAAAAAACAAATAAATAATAGCCAAATATTAGCAATTTCAAAGCTTCAAATTCTCAACGTCGTAACTAAGATTTTTAAACTCATCTTTAAAAATCAAATGAGGTTTTCTTTTAGCTAAATCTAAAATAGTTTTACCAAATTCACTATTACACCAGGCAAACCATGGTCTTGTATAACTTAATCCTTGAGGAAAGTTAACATTGACAGATTCGTGCATTAAACCTAAACCACCAGTACTTTCAATAAGTAAATTTAAAGTATCAAGAATTTCTTTATCATCATCAGACGTTCTTATAGCAATTAATAAACTCATTGGCCAAGCATAAGTGATACCAATATGAGGACCACCAATACCTTTAAAATATTTACCTGTTAAGTAGTATGGGTTCCCAGATTTTGAAAGAATAGCTTTTCTAGTATTTTGATAAATTTCATCTGTTGCTGAAACAAAACCTAAATCAGGTAATGATAATAAAGATGGAAGATTAGCATCATCCATTGAAATTTTACCACCATACCCATCAACTTCATAAGCAAATATTTTACCAAAAGTTGGATGATCAATTATTCCATGTTCATATATTCCTTTATAGATTGCTTCGATAAAATTTTCAGCAATTGTTGATAAATTATTTTGATTTGTTTTTTTCAAATATTTAATTGCTCTTTTCAACTCTACACACATATGAGCATTTGCAGGAATGAAAAATTGTAAAATACAAGCATCATCTGAAGGCCTAAAAGAAGATCTAATAAGTCCAGTATCGAGATTTACAGGATTACCTGTACCAGCAAGAGGTAAAGTTTCTGAGCCAATTTTTGTGTCTCGTTGGAAAGTATAATAATAAGGTAATACACCTCCATTTTTATCATAAGTTGGTGATGATTGTCTTCTCAATACTGTCAATATCATTTCAAAAGCGTCCAACCATATATCATTAATAAATGATAAATCTCCCGAATTTTCGTAATATTCATTAGACAATGTTAAGAAAGAAGCCAATGAATCTAATTCCCATTTACATTCAAAAACATGTTTCCAAGAAGGTCTTGGAGTCACATAATCTATTGCAGAAGGTTTTCTTTTTATATTTGATTCCATTGGTGGTTGAAAAGCATTACAATATGGAGCTTTTGTAATATACCATGCTTGTAAATTTATAGCACCTTTCATCAAATTTTGTAAATTTTTATCATATTTAATCATTGGTTGATAAACTGATAATTGCCTAGCTGCATCTCTTAACCATTCAGCATGGATATCTCCAGTGACAACAAATGTCTTTGCTAATTTAGTATAATCTACTGAATTAGTATTTGGGTAACCTTGTTTTTGTCCAGATTCTTCTTCAAACCATAAGATTGTTGTATCTAAAGTATTTGGTAAACAATTTTCTACCAATCTAGCTAAATCAGGATTTTCTATTTTCCCAGTTAAATCATTAATAATTTTTTCTACAATTTCTGATTTAAACGTTCGACATTGTTCTGGAGGTCTCATATATGGTAATTGTAAATCACCTTCTGATAATGGAGGATGTGGTTTCTTGGAATATTCTAAATAATCAGCACATTTTTTATTATGTGATTTGGCAAAAAATAAAGAAGAATCTTTTTGCAGTATTTTCAGTTGTTGTTGTTTTTTATTCTTTAATTTTTTTGTAGATTCTTCATCAAATAATACATTTTGTTCTTTTTCTAATTTTTGAACACTATTAATAAATTCAACATCTGTATATGAAACTGAAATCCCCTTTTCATCATCTTCATTTCCATCACTTCTATAACTTCTAGTTGACCAATAAATACCGAAAACCACTAATAATAAAATACCGAAAAACTTTAACGGTTTTAACCTCCTACCATGTACAAAAATTAACGCCATTATTCAATCATCTGATAATAAGTCTAAACCATCAATCCAAGCGCTTTTATAATCATAAATTAATCTTACACCAAGAACTGATATTTTTTTTACTCTTACAACTATTCTTACAACTATTATTTATTTTATATTATTAGAATCAAATTATATGTACTTTATTTATACTAAAGGGTCCAAAAATAAAGAAACTAATTTCAGAAAATATTTTCGTGCATAAGATAAGCGTACTCCGAATCCATGCTTTTGACTACTTTTGTCAAACCCAATTCACCTATTTTTGTCAAATAATTCTTTTCATAAGTTTCTCTTGATTTGTTATAACTTAATAAGGTATTATAGTAGTCTTGTTCTATTGTTTGAATTTCATTAGTAGAATTTTCTAGTGATTGTAATAAACCGTTATTACTTAATAGATTTAAAGATAATCGAACCAATTTTGTACGAAATTTAAAATCAGACAACAGTTTTAAAAGGTTAGAAAAAGAATCACTATTTTCATTATTGTTGGATAACATTTCCCGGGATATGCATATGATTTTAAGACCCTTTTCGTGGCTTAAGCTCAGCGTAATTGAATCTTGATTCAGTAATTCTTCTTCATCTTTTCTTTTTTCTCTCTTTGCATCTATGGTTGTTGCACTTGTAGTTGCACTTGCACTTGCACTTGTAATGTCAATTTTATTTGACCACTCGGTACAAAGATCATTTGTCGATTTGTTTTGAAATTTAAATAATTCATTTTCTTTATTTGATAAGATTAATCTAGAGTATTTTAACGCAATTAAAAATATTTTCACGTTATTTATAGCTTGAGTATCATATAATCGTAATAAATTATTGGGATCAACACTAAATCTATAACTACTATAACTAATTGTACTATTATTTTCTTTTTCTTTATCTTTATCTTTATTACGAAATAGTATTTCATAATTTTTTTCCATATTTAAAGTCTCTATTTTTTGGCATAATTGATTCCAATTTAAATTAGTCTTAGTTTCATGATTATCTTGTAAAATCAAAATTAATGGGAATTTAGTTAAAATTTTTGAATATTTTTTCAATAACCAAAGTTCACGATTATTATTGGGTAAATCTATATTATTTATTCCTTCATCTCTTTTCATTTTAAAATTATTCTTCCCCTTATTAAAATTATTATCCATTATTGATCCATATACTAATTGATTCAAATCACTCGATTTTAGAAAATATTGTCTAATTCCACCATAATGGCTGGACTCAAAAGAAGAAAGAAACTTTATCCTACACTTATTTCTACTTAACATATCCAACCAATACCAGTACTAGAAACTACTATAAATCCATTTATCATATAATAAGTTTGTTTCTAAAAAAAAAATAAAAAAAAAAAAAACATGAAAATTTCTTAAAATAATAAAAAATTCACCTTATTTTCTTTATCTTTTTAAAAAATTTAAGTAAAAAATTTAAAATTATTTTCTTAATTGAAAAAGCGAATATTCGTTCAAGCAATGTTAATGTAAAAGCAAGCAGATGAATAAAACTAATTACTGCATCACATACATTTTAATCGTAAATCTTTTCTTTCCCCAATTTTTATAATTATTTTGGCTTGTAAAAAAATTGTTGTACCTTACTTTCCAATGAAGATCTTGATAAATTGATGATCTTTTGGACTTTTACTAATAACTTAAGAGAACTAAAAAAAGCGAAAAAATCAACATTTTAAAAATAGTTTACAACAATTTACAGATTTAGATAAAAACCAGATATTTCATTTTCACTCTAAATGGATAAAAAGGCAAAAAAGAAACATCTTGACTTCCCAGCTATAAACATCAATTTAAATGTGTTACTTCAACACATTTAACTGTGTTGAAGGAATAACAAAAGCAAAACACCAGGAAACTCCCCAGCTAAGTTGAATGGCAGACTTCCAGCGTGAAACAATTTAAGCCTGGCTAGCTCAATCGGTAGAGCGTTTGACTCTTACGATATTAAACGGATATCAAAAGGTTGCGGGTTCGACCCCCGCGTCGGGCTATTTAATTTTTTTTATTTTTTATATTCGTATATTTATATATAAATAACTTGACTTAACTGTAGCCACTATATATCTATATATCTATATATGGGCTTTTCATTTCCAAGCGGGCTTTGGAAAGGTCTTTCGTACGGGTATTCTACTTGATATATTTCCACTACTGTTACCACTATTATTTGCATCATTATTTTTAACTGTTGTACCGCTTCTTGTTCCAAATTCGTTTTTCCTTTTCAATCTAGATTCGTTTGAAAACTCTGGAGTAAATGTATTTTTAATACTCTTTGGATTTTCTATAAATGAATCATTTGACATGTAACTGAAATCAGAATTATTTTTACGTTCTTGTTGTGGGAATCTTGTACTTAAATGTGTTGTTGTTGTTGTTGTTGTTGTTGAATCTCCTGAAATATTTTTCTTAATACCAACAGCTCTACTTGGAAGTAATGATGGATTTCTCAGTTTTGTCAATCTATTTAAAGTAGCACTGGTTAATGGTCTTTTAAAATCGTGTCTTATTGAATTAGTAGAATTGATAGGATTACTAGTAACTCTTTTATTATTAATAATTAAATTATTACCTATCTTGTTTTGATTTGTATTCTCCTTTTCTCTTTCAATTTCTAATCTTTCTTCTTCTTCCAAATTTTTAATCTCAGTTTCCATCCTATCTATTACAGAATCCAATGCATCCTGATTCTTGGAAAAATCTTCTCTTGATGGAGCTTCTGTAAATTCTGTACAATAAGAATTTATTAATAACCCATAAAGTAAACTAGAAAAACTTTCGTTAAATTTAACTATACTCTCATTTATAAAATTCACCTTGATCAAATTATCTTCTAATACATTTAAAGATTCCGCTAATTCTTGAAACTGCTCAAGTGATAATGGAATGTTATCCTCTATAGGGTAATGTAACTTTGGTGATTGCTGAGGTATTGGTTGTCTACTCATCAAACGATGAGGCGTCGAAGGTCTTGATGACGACCGCTGGTTCATCTGCTGGCTCGACATTTTTTATTTATTTATTTTTCTTTCTTTCTTTCTCTCTATCTCTTTTCTCAAATTCAAGACTTAACCGTGATCTTTTTCAATAAATATCGTCGTTCTTACTCTTGTTAAAACGCGTTATATTTCATTTCATTTCATTTTATTTTCAATTTTTTGTTTACATTTTCGAAAACATCATTTAAATTAAAGGAAACCGTTTAGTTTGGGTCCAAAAGACACTACTTTGTAAAAATTGAATATATTATGGAGAAAGAAGCTATCTACAAATAAATAACGGCTATAAACATAAAGGAGGAAGGGAAAGTCTGCCTTGTGTGGTATGTGCGTAGTAATGGTTTTTGTAAAGTTGTAAGTAAGAGTTCTTGGTTGTTTTTCACATGGTTTTGCTGGCATGTCTTAATTTCTCTTGTAGTGGGTTAACGATTTTTCTCTTTTTGAAGACAATGGCCAATAAGATTGCTGAAGAAATAGAAATACCCCACCAGGTCACAACGTATTGCAAATGTGTATTTCTGTAATCCACAGTTGGAATTTTACCTAGTGGAACACCTGCAGAGATGAACTGGTGTTCATCGAATTGAATAGAGCTGTCAAACGTTTTGCTCATTTGGGCAACGGTTGGGGAATCAAAAGAATATGTTGGAGCTGCTGCGGGAACACCATTAGTATTCTGGTCCGGTTGGTTGATATTGCTAATGCTACTATTGGTGTTACTGGAATGCGACCAGAATTTCCAAGAAGAACCAGGTAAAGAGGAACCACCATTTTCTTGTTGTTGGATTCTATTTTCTGGCAAGTATTCAGGATGGTCGCTGAAATCCTGGATTACTTGAGCATATATAGGCAATGCGTTATTCTGTTTTGCCATCAGATCAAGGTCCAAATAACGGAAAATCTTGGTGTTCGGTTCGTGGTCAATGTGGAACATACCTTTCTTTGGAGGAACTCTTAACATACATTGAATAGTAATTTCACCTTCCGGCACTGATAAATGATGTAGAGTTCTTGTATTAGGATTGACTTTATCTGCAGATATCCAACCTCTGTCCACAATAATTTTCTTACCATCACTGGATCTAATGAATGGAGTAATTAATAAGTAACCTCTTTGACCATTTAATAATCTTGGTCCAACAAGCATTTCATGGTCATAATCATATCTTCCTGTAACTAACACCTTACGGTACTCAAAATCTGGTACATCTTCAGGCATAACACTCTTGGGTAAAGGAGCAGGATTATAAGTTAATCTATCTTCACATTCAGCAACTAAAGAATTCTTCCATTTTAATCTTTCTAATTGCCAACAACCAAGGAAAAAAGTAATGACCGGAGTTAAACATAATAACCCTAAAACAACTTTTTTCCCTTTCTTGGGCAGTGAAGCCCTATCTAATTGACGCTGAGTCTTCATTGGATTCCAATCAATATTATCAGTCTTAACCGAAACCGATCGAATATTTAAATTAGGCTTGATTACATCAACATATCTTTTAAAATGTACAGCTAAAGGTCTTTTCGATATTCTAATTAATCCTCTATCTATTAAAAGACCTGACCTCTGAACAGGTTTCATAAACAACATTTCCTTCCTAATAACAACTACAACCTGATATTCAAATGAAAATGTTTAAATTTTTATTTAAATATGAATATAAAATATATTTTAATTTAATTTATTATAATATTTAATACCTGGAAAATTTTATATAAAAGGTAGTGCTCTTCTCTTTTGTATGGACTCAGGAAGTTAAAGTGAAAGATGATTGATAAAGATTGATAAAGAAGAGGTTGGTCTACATTGAAAATGCCAATTACGAAAGAAGAGAAGAAGCTAGTTATAAAGTTTATAAATAAATAAATCAATAAATAAAGGGAAAAAAAAAGTCTTTTAACTAAGGTAACCTCCTTGTTCGCATAATTTGTAGAATAAACTGTTTTTATTCTCTAGTAAAACCTTTGGGTCTTCAAATTCCATTACTTTCCCCTTTTCCAATACAAGAATTCTATCGCTATCCATGACGGTATCTAGTCTATGAGCAATGGTTAAGATTGTTCTGTCTTTGAATTCGGATCTGATAGTTTCTTGTACAACTTTATCTGTCTGGAGGTCAACCGCAGCTGTTGCTTCATCCAAAATTAATACTTTTGATGAATTCAATAATGCTCTTGCTAAACACATCAATTGTCTTTGTCCCACCGATAAGTTTGAACCCCCTTCAGCAACTTTAGATTCTAATGCCAACTTGTGTTTTTCTTCAATCGACAATGGTTGTTTTGAGTCATTTGTTTCTTCAACCATAGATAAAACATGATCTTTCAAATGCGCCAACTCCAAGACTTTCCATAATTCTTCATCAGAGTATTGCGATATAGGATCTAAATTTGATCTTATAGTTCCTTCAAAAGCTTGTGAATCTTGAGGGATAATGCTTAAATTTTTCCTCAAATCATGTAGTCCAATCTCACCAATGTTGAAACCATCAATTTCAATACAACCATCGGTGGCTTCTATCAATCTGAACAAAGCCATGGCCATGGTGGATTTCCCAGCACCAGTTCTTCCAACAATACCAATCTTCTCCTGAGGCTTTATATCTAATGTTATATCGTTCAATACTGGATCCAAATCTTCTCTATATCTTGTTGTGTAATGTTTAAATTTAACTGCTCCAACAGAGGGCCAATAAGCTGGTGGCCTCTTATTTTCAATTATCGATTCTGCTTCTGGTTTTATATCACAATATTCGTTGATTCTTTCAACACTAACTATTTGGACTTCAACGTTCACAGTCAATCTGACCATCGCATTCAATGAAAAAGTCACTTGTAATGCGTAGCTCATCACCAAACCTATGAGACCAGGGCTCAATGGAGTAGAACTTCTCAAGCTCAATATAGCCAACAGAGAAGATGCTAAAATAACTAAAGATCCAATAAATTGCAATCTTACTGATAACCATCTGTTTATACTAATTGAACTATAAAGCGATTTCAAATTAAAATCAACAAAGTTCGACATGAGAAATATGAATCTCAGCTTCTGGTTAAAAGCTCTAATAGTTTCAGCACCACCAACAGATTCAGACAAATGAGAGAAAACGGGACTTCTTGATATGCTGACAATTCTTTTCAATTCTCTCGAAGTAACCACAAAGTATGCCTGATAAAAAATATAAAGTATGGATAAAATTGCAAATATCACCAAAAACATCGGTAAATTATATGCAACAATTGCAATTGTGAAACTAATACTAACAATCTCATAAAACATACCGTCGAATGCATTTGGTAATTGTTCATCAACCTTATTGATATCATCAGAAAACCTATTCATAATTCTACCTATGGGAGTAGTCTCGAAAAATGACATTGGGGACCTCATAATGGACCTAGCTAACTTATCATGTAAAACTTTTGATCCATTGAAAGCACAAAATGCCCACATAATAGCAGTGTGGATAGCAGTTAATACACCCGTCGTAATACCTAACAGCAGGTAAATACTAAGGAAAAATGTACTATTAGAGTTTTCCCCAGTTTGACTATTATTTTCAGCCCAATATTTTAACCAAAAGCTTTCTAAAATTGATGAAAAGCCAGTTATTAACAATATCGAGAGATAACAAATAACACCAGCAATATTGCATGCTTTTGCATATGACATGTACACTGCCAATTTGACTTTCCCAGCTGCTGCTGTCTCTTCCTTCTGAGCAGTAATGATATTCTTTTTATTATTTTTTTGAGATACTTCTTTTGATAAAGTAACTACACTAGCCCTCCTTAATGTTTGATGAGTTGCAATTCTTTCCAAAGGTGAGCCACCAATAGAATTGGGGTTTCCTGAGTTAAACGGATGAGTTCCTAAATTGTCAGCTAACATTTCAATATCATCAGTTTCGTCGATTTCATCAACCGCAATTACTTCAGACCCATCTGTCGATGTAGTTTTGGAGCCAACTGAAAAATCACTTTCCTTTTC